GTAGTTAAAGTGATTAACTACCCGCCTGGCACTTAGTTAAGGAGTTTTATCCCCTCCCTGACTTCAGGGAAAAATCCCTACCTGGGGAAACACCTTTCTCGGAGAGGTGACCTTGGTTAAAACACACAGCGCTAAGGGGAGCAAACATATTAAGAACAGTACGCTATATACGCCAGGTCCCTTGAAACATATGCTGTGCAGATGTTTCTTTCCTGCAGCGACTGTGTCAAGCAGCAAGGATGGACTGGCTTCCGGCAGCCAAGAGCAAAAGACAAAGAGAGAATCTTAAAAGCAGCAAGAGAAAGAAACTCAATTACCTACAAGGGAATACCCATACGACTGTCAGCTGATTTCTCAACAGAAACTTTGCAGGCCAGAAGGGAGTGGCAAGAAATATTCAAAGTGATGAATAGCAAGAACCTACAACCAAGATTACTTTATCCAGCAAAGCTATCATTCAGAATTGAAGGTCAGATAAAGAGCTTCACAGATAAGGAAAAGCTAAAGGAGTTCATCACCACCAAACCAGGATTATATGAAATGCTGAAAGGTATCCTTTAAGAAGGGGAAGAGGAAGAAAAAGGTAAAGATACAAATTATGAACAACAAATATGCATCTATCAACAAGTGAATCTAAGAATCAAGTGAATAAATAATCTGATGAACAGAATGAACTGTTGATTATAATAGAATCAGGGACATAGAAAGGGAATGGACTGACTATTCCTGGGGGGGAAAGGGGTGTGGGAGATGCGGGAAGAGACTGGACAAAAATCGTGCACCTATGGATGAGGACAGTGGGTGGGGAGTGAGGGCGGAGGGTGGGGCGGGAACTGGGAGGAGGGGAGTTATGGGGGGAAAAAAAAGAGGAACAAATGTAATAATCTGAACAATAAAGATTTACTAAAATAAAAGAAAAAGCAATTAATACAATATTTAAATAGAGATAGTATATACTTTTAAACATGAAAATAGGATGAATAATTTCTATAGAAAACACTAATCCAGTAGTTCTCAACCTTCTGGCCCTTTAAATACATTTCCTCATGTTGTGACCCAACCATAAAATGATTTTTGTTGCTACTTCATAACTGTAATGTTGCTACTGTTATGAATCGTAATATAAATATCTGATATGCAGGATGGTCTTAGGCGACCCCTGTGAAAGGGTCATTCGATCGCCAAAGGGGTCGCGATTCAAGGTTGAGAACCGCTGCACTAATCAGAAATATATTTTCATGAACTGAATAAAAACATATATCCAAAGATATCACCATGAACTTAAAAATATGAAGCAATTGCCCCTAAAAACACTGTAAAATAGAAAATATAATAATTCAGTAATGGTTTGACCAGACAATAGCAGGGATGAAAATGAGAATTAGTAAAACTCAGAAAAGAAATAGAAGTAAAAGAAAAATCACAACAGGAATGAAGACAAAGTACAACGAGGAACAGAAAGCACAGTCATCTAGAAGATAAACATGAGATAAGTAAACATAATGAAATAAGTTAAGAAAGTGATTAGGAGGTTAAGAGCACTAAGAGGTACAGACAGAATACAGGTAACAGCTTGTCAACATACACACAGGGGAAGTCCCTGAGGAGGAAACCATGGCTCCTGTCTCCCACCAAGTGCAGCGGTGAAAGACCTGAGTAGAATGCATGCAGCAGCTTTTTAAGGGCTGTGATAGTAGTAGCAGCAGTTGGGTTGAGGGAAAAGACCAGAATGCAAACTGGGGGAGTTTACCATTTTCCCCCTCCAGTAATTCCTAGGCTGACTTCAAGGCAGCCTAAAGCCCAGAAATGTGTATCAGCATGGACAGAGGGGGGTTCAGGGAAAACTCTCAGGTCTGGCTTAAGGAGTGGGAATGACCATAGAGTGGGAACCTATAAGAACCTACAACTCTGAAGAAGGGGAACCGCCCTATCTAATCAGAAGAGGTGTAGTCCCAAGAGAATGGGGAAAACCCCGATTGCTTTTTTTCTCTCTCTGTCGTCATACCACTTCAATTCAGATGAGGGCACTGTTGCCATAAGTGTATGGCAGCGTAAGTTACACCCCAACTTTTGCTGGAGGATCAAAAAGGGAGAAACCAGGAAACAGGGAAGCGCTGGAAATACCAAAGAGATGGAGCTTAGGAAAGGAACCCCAAAATGTTGTTTATGAACTCCTGTGCTCACTTCTGAATTGCACTTACATAGATCATATCACAGACAGACGACCAAAGAAGTTGAAAATGGAATTGAGACAAGCCACCACCCAGGTTCCAGACTTGCCACTGGGTGGCACACACATGGGACAGACAGCATTACAAAAGTCCGGAAAACAAAACTGGCATTAAAACCACCACCACAGAAGACTGGTAGGAATTTGCTACCTAAATCCAACCAGCCCAACAGCCTGATAAAACAAAAACATCAGCATTCTCTAACAAGATTGAGTCTCATACCACTATATTCAAAATACCCAGAATATAATCCCAAATCCTTGGGCAAGTGGCCACCTGTGGCTGAGTAGCACTTTCATTTTGTGTAAAGCAAGTATACTCAGAGCTTCCCCTCAGCAAGCTGTGGATGGGGCAGATTTCCATATAAGGGGACAAAAGGCATAATGATTGCCATTTGGACACACACAGCTACACTAAACCTTAGCTGGACGACCATGCCATACACTTTCACCCCTCTAAGCCTTTAGATGGCCTATTCCTTTTTCCTGGAATGTCTTTTCCTCTCTGCCTAGAAAACTTGTATATGTTCTTTAAAACCCAGCACAAAGATTAAGTCGCTCCCTCCCTTCCCAGCCCTTACTGCCCAGCAACCTCGATTCAAACATTTAATATGAGGTTTGACACTGCTTGTCTATGCATTTGTCTCCTCAGACAGACAGCAAGCTCCCAGGGGATGGATTCAGAAGATACTCATTGCTGCCTTCCCACTATCAAACACATTCATTCATGCATTCAGTTAGTCACTCAGCAAATATTAATTAAAGGTCCACTGTGTACCCGCCACTGGGATGCAAATGTGAACAAGTCAGACAGGCCTTTGATCTTTCTCAGACATTAATGTTTTCACATATACAAAGCAGTGGACAGTTAACTGGGCCATAAACTACCCCTCTATAATAACTCCAAGAGGCACCCCAAACTTGGTTTGTCAAAGAGCAGGTTTATCCTATTCCCCAATCTTTCCACTTCTTATGAGTCCCACCTCTCAGTAAATGACACCATCCTATAGCTGGTTGCCTGAACCAGGAACCAGGGCATCACTCTGGATCAAGCTTTCTCCCCCTCTCTCTCTTCTGCCCTCTCTCACATTCTTCTATCAGCACGAGTTGAAAATGGAGTCTTCCACTTCCTTAGCATCTATCTTATTCTCCTCCAACTCCATTCCTGCTGACACTGCCTTGTTGCAGGCCCTTGTAATCTCTCCCCAGCGCACCCCACATGTCTCCTCATGGGCCTCCTGTTTGTTTCCCACCACATCACTTACCTCTTCCTGGTCCCAGCCTCATGAATTTCCTTAAAATTTACCATCTCTCTGAAACTCTTGCTGCCTATTTGCCCAGGATGCCTCCCCTCTCCCAATCCTCCTCTACTCCCTTTGCCTACTCAAATTTCAAGACTCAGTTCAAGTTACTGCAAGTTACTGAGAAGCCTTTTCTGTTTCCCCAAGGTAAACCCACCCCTCCTTGCTTTGGCGCCACAACCCCCTGTACAGAATTCTTTCCATTGAGTAACACTAGCGGCCTGATGCACAAAATTTGTGCAAGAGTAGGCCTTCCTTCCCCCAGCTGCCGGCACTGGCTTCCCTCTGGCACCCGGGACCTGGGCTTTGTCTGGAAGATCATCATTTGGAAGGACGTCCAGTCTAATTAGCATATTACACTTTTATTATTATAGATACCGTTGCATCTGTTTTTTACATATTTATCTCCACTCTAGACTAGAAACACCTTAAGGGTAAAATCTCTGTTTATATCACTTATTACCTCGGTACCTGGAGTATAATAGGTGCTCAAGGAACACTTTAAAAAATTGATTTTAGAGAGGAAGGGAATTCATTCACTTTTTGAATGAATTCAGTCCTTTTAAAAAATAACTTATTTTTCAATCACAGTTGACATGTAATATCATATTAGTTTCAGGTGTACAACATATTGATCAGATATTAACCCTTTGAGTGCCAACCAATATCCTAGGAACTATGCTAAAATTGCCAAGGCATTTTTGCTGATTTTACAGCAGTTTAGGAAATCTGCACTTAGGTGCCATCTGTCAATAAAGAGTGAACTACTAGCATCTAATAGTGAGTGACACTGCAGGAGGAGCGCGATAACGCTCCCAGCACTTTTGGCGAAAGACAGGAGCGCGGGATCTCGCTCCCCAGCACTCTAGGGGTTAATATAACTTATAGGTTAAGCCTAGTACCCGTCTGACACCATGTACAGTTATCACCCATATTATTGACTGTATTAGCCATACTGTACCGTACATCCTGTGACGGTTTTTACAACTGGCAGTTTGCACATCTTAATCCTTTCCCCATTATCACGCATCCTCCCATCTGGCAACCATCAAAATGTTCTCCGCATCTATGAGCTTCTTTCTGTTTTATTTATTTATTTAATATATTTTAATTGTTGATAGCATTACAGAGCTCTCCCATTCCCCCTCCCCCCAAGCCTCTATCCACCCCCCCCCGCCCACTCTTCCCCCCCCACCCTCCCCCCCCCGCCCCCTCCAGATCTTCACCACCCCATTGCCCACGTCCTATGCACATAAGTGTAAAAGTTCTTTGGTTTCTCTCTCCTCATCCTCCCACCCCCACATACACGCTGAGGGCTGCCGTCGCCATATTGCAGGGTGGGCCGCGCAGACTTTTGGCGCCAGGCCCGCGCGCAGAGCTGGGAAGGGGAGGGGGCGCGCGCTCCCGGGGGAAGCACGCGTGCGCACCGGCCGCGGCGGCGGAGGGGTGGGGCCCGCTTCGCAGTGAGTGCGCGTGCTCGTGGGAGCCCGGCGAGTACCTGGAGGAGGCGGGGGGCGAGGAAGGAAGGAGTCGGGTCGGAGAGCGCTCATGCGGGAGGGCTACTGTGCGGGGAGAGGGGCTCCTGAGCACGCGCGCGGCGACGAGACTGTGGGAACTCTCGCGAGATCTCCTGGTGCTTTATGTGGACGCCGAGGGCTCGCGTCCTTTCCCGGGTGCGGTTCCATCGTGCATCGCAGAGGCCGTTTCTCTCCGCCCGCCTTCTCTCTCACCTGAGTGCGTGCTACCGCCCCCTGGAAGGTTGTATGGACATGGACATGAGCCCTCTGAGGCCCTAGAACTGCCTTTTCGGTAACTACTGGGGGGTTGGAGGGAGGCCGAGCAGGGCCTAGTCCCTAGTGGCTTTGAGGTGGGGGGCGCGGGAGGGGGCGGGGCGGGGATGCGGCAGAGGCCGGGCTGTGGAAGGAAGCGAGGCCGGCTGGAGGCCTGAGTGGGTGGGAGGCGAGATGGCAGGGCCCTGCAGCCTAAAGGATGGAGCACCGGGAGGGGTGAGCACTAAGGGATGGAGCACCAGGAGGGGTGAGCACTAAGGGATGGAGCACCAGGAGGGGTGAGCACTAAGGGATGGAGCACCGGGAGGGGTGAGCACTAAGGGATGGAGCACCGGGAGGGGTGAGCACTAAGGGATGGAGCACCGGGAGGGGTGAGCACTAAGGGATGGAGCACCGGGAGGGGTGAGCACTAAGGGATGGAGCACCGGGAGGGGTGAGCACTAAGGGATGGAGCACCGGGAGGGTGAGCACTAAGGGATGGAGCACCGGGAGGGTGAGCACTAAGGGATGGAGCACCAGGAGAGGTGAGCACTAAGGGATGGAGCACCAGGAGGGGTGAGCACTAAGGGATGGAGCATCGGGAGAGGTGAGCACTAAGGGATGGAGCACCAGCAGGAGGGTGAGCACTAAGGGATGGAGCACCGGGAGAGGTGAGCACTAAGGGATGGAGCACCGGGAGAGGTGAGCACTAAGGGATGGAGCATCAGCAGGAGGGTGAGCACTAAGGGATGGAGCACCGGGAGGGGTGAGCACTAAGGGATGGAGCACCGGGAGGGTGAGCACTAAGGGATGGAGCACCAGGAGGGTGAGCACTAAGGGATGGAGCACCGGGAGGGGTGAGCACTAAGGGATGGAGCACCAGGAGGGTGAGCACTAAGGGATGGAGCACCGGGAGGGTGAGCACTAAGGGATGGAGCACCGGGAGGGTGAGCACTAAGGGATGGAGCACCGGGAGTGGTGAGCACTAAGGGATGGAGCACCGGGAGGGTGAGCACTAAGGGATGGAGCACCGGGAGGGTGAGCACTAAGGGATGGAGCACCGGGAGGGTGAGCACTAAGGGATGGAGCACCGGGAGGGGTGAGCACTAAGGGATGGAGCACCGGGAGGGTGAGCACTAAGGGATGGAGCACCGGGAGGGTGAGCACTAAGGGATGGAGCACCGGGAGTGGTGAGCACTAAGGGATGGAGCACCGGGAGGGGTGAGCACTAAGGGATGGAGCATCAGCAGGAGGGTGAGCACTAAGGGATGGAGCACCGGGAGGGGTGAGCACTAAGGGATGGAGCACCAGGAGGGGTGAGCACTAAGGGATGGAGCATTGAGAGGGGTGAGCACTAAGGGATGGAGCATCGAGAGGGGTGAGCACTAAGGGGTGGAGCACCAGGAGGGGTGAGCACTAAGGGGTGGAGCAGCGGGAGGGGTGAGCACTAAGGGATGGGAAGGAGGGGTGACCTGAAGCTTGGGGGCGAGCGGTTGGAGACCCAGAGTCTGGGGTTCCCTGGGAACCGCCTGGCTGAGGGTTCAGTGTTGCCTGGGGTAAACCATCGAGTTCCAGGCATTACCTTTCCCAAGGGCTGTGTGTGTGCGCGGCGGCTTTCGATTCGCAGCCAGTGTCTTGGGTGCGGGGCCCCAGTGGTGCAGGAGGCTGTGCAGCTCGTGGTGTGAGGCATAGGCCTTCTTCCAGGAGGAGAGGGTGCACAGAGCCTGGCCTTGCTCTCCAGGCCTCAGGCATTCTAGAGCCCCGAGCCCCGAGCCCCGGTGCCTCGGCGGGGTGCAGGGAGGCGGGGTGCAGGGGAGGCGCAGGCGCTGGGAGCCTGTGGTTTGCAGGTGGTCGGGGGAAGGAAGGGGTGTGGGCGCTATCTCCGGGGCTCACTGGTGTCTTGTCATCCCTGAGCTCGGGATCCTGGGGCTTCATTGGGGCTGTCAGGTGGGAAATGTTGGGTGAAGTGGTTGGTAGCACCGGGATGGTGGAGGTCTTTGTTCAGGCAGGTTCTCACCAGGCTTCACCGCGAGAGGTGGGAATTGCCTGCTAGGCAGGTGCTGATAGTGATGCTCAGAACTAAAGTGACTTAAGGAAGGTTGCACTTGCAGGTAAATAGATAAGATCTAAACCACGAGTCCTGACTCCTATAAATGACTTTTTTTTATGTGCAGAATCGAGCAAAGAGCTTTTTTTTTTTTTTTTTTTTTTAAAGATGAGAAATGTGCTCAGGTTCAATTTGGGTCAATAAGACTCAGTACTGTTACTATATTATATATCAAGGTTTTGGGATTCCTCCTCTTCCCAGGACACAGTACATATCATACTAAGGAAAGAGCAGAATTGGTTTTCAGTAAACTTGTTGAAGCCCTTTCTTTGTGTGTCAGGCTTCAAGTAACTGCAAATTCTGCCCCAAGTTTATTTTGTTTCATGTGCCATGCTGAGTTTTGTTAATTGAGCAATAATATTTAAACATCTATGTACTAGTAACTATGGTATTAGAGTGCTGCAATTAAATGGAATCATTTACATTAATTAAAATTTTACTCTGATGGTACTTAAAACAATTTGCTTATTAGTGGAATAGCTAATATGCACTGTACAAATAGTGCTTTTATTTCTAGCCATTTTGAATAGCTGGGTTTCTGATCAATTTATATCAAGATATTTTTTGTTGACCCTTTTCATTGGAAATATTCCCTAGGATATGTCAACATATTGTTGAAGTAACAGAAATGGTGTACATTAAATTATGTCAGAAATTATGTTTAAGGCAAGTATAGACATATCCTAGGGATGGTTAAAGCCTGTATGGATGTTATTTGATTGTAGGCATTTGTATTCAAGAAACCTAGGAAGAGAGGCCTTCTGGTAAGATAGTGAAAAATCACAAGTTAATTGTTTCCTTTTTGGTTACCCATATGAAGTTTCAGTATTATTTTTTTCTCCATGTTATAGTTGCTTTTTTTCTTCACTTACAGGTTGTGAACTAAAAGCCGACAAAGATTATCACTTTAAGGTGGATAATGATGAAAATGAGCACCAATTATCTTTACAAATGGTACTTAAACTTTTCAAAATAAACTACGAAACCTTTCTCGATTTCAGCCTTAGTTCCTATTCATGTGGCTTAATATTTAATTTTTATGATAGTATTTTTATAACTGAGTATTGTATATACTGATTTTCTGTATACCTGTGATACAAAACTTGGCATTTTTATCACTCCTTTGGTAATCATATAAAAGTCCAGTTACACTACTGTTCAACTTTTCATGTTTATATACTTCATTTGCCTTAAAAAGTCCTTTAGAGTAGTGGTAAATCTTTGTCCCCTGCAGAGACTAGCCCATAGCTTGCTGCTTAACTTGTAGGTGGTCAATAAATGTTAGGTAATCATACTGTGGATAGGTGATGACATGTACAACTACAGGGTGTCTCCCCAAAATGTAGGCACACACTTTGGATAATTATAAAGGTGGTGTTTATTAAAGTGCATTTCATTTTCAAAATTGAGCTATCGGCTGTTAAAGTGTGTATGCAATTTTTGAGGGCACCCCTACGCATTTGTTCAAATTTATTGAATATGAGAAATTGATTGTCAAAGTCCCATAAAACTTGAAGACAACATTGTGCACAAATTAGTTTTCCATCAGTGGTAATAGTGAAAAGTTTATAAGTAACTTTTTTTTTTAATATAAGAACTTTTGGGGGGATTGTATAATACAGAAACTTAAGTTGAAGTGCTGTTTTTCTGTTCACAGGTCAGGTTAGGGGCCGGTGCAAAGGATGCAAAGTGGACAGCACTTAGTAGGTATGTTATTTTTATTTTATGCAGCTACTTTGTCCCAGCAGGACTACTGTCTTTATAGTAGGTTCAAATGGGAATCTAGTAGTTACATATATTACTAATTTATCACTGGAAACACCTGTTATTTTGCATATAAAACCTAGTAATGAGTGTTAGGCCTCACAGTTCCTTTTTGTAAAAAATTTTGTTTGCTTTTTGCCTTTTTTAAGCAGTAGAGTCTGTTTTTAAATACTCATTACTGTAAATTAATGCCCTGTTTTCTGAGTTCTTGCTTCTGGGTTGAGTTTTAGTAGTAGCTAATAAAGAAATTTATTTTAGCTGTGGAGGAAGATGCAGTCAGAAGATGACGAGGAGGAGGATGTGAAACTCATGTCTGGAAAGCGTTCTGCCCCTGGAGGTGGTAGCAGGGTTCCGCAGGTATAGATGTAATTTACTACAGGTACCTTATTCTGATTTTTAGTTTGGGCACTTGCTCATGAGGTTTTTTGTTGTTTTTCTCTTTAAAGAAAAAAGTAAAACTTGCTGTTGATGAGGATGATGAGGACGATGATGATGAGGATGATGACGATGAAGAGTAAGTATGGATTCAGAAGCTTGATGAGGTTGTATGGGGGGTTTTAAGAAAATGTTTTTCTAAAATCGTCCTGTGGAATTGAGTAGTAGCTTTAAATAAAGGGTAAATGGTCAGTGGTTGTCATTTTGGGTTAAATGAGCCAAGTTAAAGGATACTGTTGGAACTATGAACCTTTAAAGTGCTTCAGTGCATTGAGAATTTTCAGAACTATTTCCCTGATGTGTTTGACTAGGTACCGCAAGCATGTCAAACTCGCGGCCCATGGGCCGCATGTGGCCCACAAGGAATATTTTTGCGGCCCAGCCAATACAACGGTATGTAAGAAACGTTTTAATACAAAGTTCGTAGCTTAATTTTTACAATATCCTGTTATAATTATTAATAACGAACTAAAATGTTCGCTAATGACTGATTACTAGAATTGTGTTGGATTCATTTCCCTTACGCACCTATGCACAGGCGCACCATTTCTCTCCACTAATACTAGCAGCGAATATTTTAGCAGCCGATTGCCACGTCATTAGTCTTGTACTGACTTGTTTGGTGTGTGCAACAGGAAATATTTCGCTTTCGGAGAACAAGAAAAATAGGTTTATTTGCGTTACGCTTATTAATTTGTGCAGTTTATTCAGTGTCTGGTAAGTTAAGGTTCAAGAGAAAATATTAATTTTTATTAAAATGTTCTATTATTTTATGTTAATGATTACTCATTTATTTCAGCCCTTTGTATTCAGCATGTCTCTATCGAAATCAAGTGGTAGTAAAAATAAACGAAAAATTGCTGATGAACATCGAAATTTCCAAGAAAAGTGGGAATTGGAGTATTTTTGCTGTGAAGTAAAAAATAAAATAATCTGCTTGATATGTAATAATGCTATTAGCGTACCAAAGTTATACAACATTAATCGTCACTATGAACAACATAAGTCAAAGTATGATAATTACGAGGGATTAATGAGAGAAGAAAAGTTGAAAGAGCTCAAGTTGGGGCTGAATAAACAGCAGTTCATGGTGACTAAAGTATCTCAAGAAAGTGAAGCGGCGGTGCATGCAAGCTACGTCTTGTCGGAGTTGATAGCTAAACACTCGAAACCTTTTACTGAAGGTGGTTTCATCAAGGAATGTCTCATTAAAGCTGCAGAAATTATTTGTCCTGGAAATGTGAAGTCTTTTCAGAGAATCTCTTTGTCTCGAAATACAGTTGCGGAAAGAGTTACTGATTTGGCTGACAATTTAAGTATTCAGATCAAAGCAAAATCACCTAGTTTCGAAGCTTTCTCCATTGCCTGTGACGAGAGTACGGACATTGGAGGCGTGGCTCAGTTAGCTGTGTTTCTTCGTGCTTGCGACACGGATTTCAACATTTTTGAGGAGTTGTTGGAACTAGTACCGATGCATAACACTAGTACAGGACAAGATATATTTAATTGTGTTTTTAAACTTCTGCAAAAATACAATCTACCTCTCTCAAAATTAACTTCTGCAGCTACAGATGGAGCTCCTTCGATGACCGGAAACAATGGTTTCGTGGAATTACTGCAAAAAAAACAAAGTGAAATTTATGACGGATCCATGATTCATCATACACATTGCATTATACATCAAGAAGTATTATGCGCAAAGGTAATAAACATGGAAAATGTGTTGACATCTATCAAAAAAATTATCAATTTCATAAGATCTCGAAGTTTAAATCAGCCACAGTTCTCTGCTTTCTTAAGTGAATTAGACAGCGAATATTCCAGTTTGTCCTATACCGAGGTACGTTGGCTCTCCTGCTCCAAGGTTCTTAAACAATTCTGGGACTTGAAAGAAGAAATATGTCAGTTCTTAATGTCTAAAAATCAAGACACAAGCCTATTTTTTGACACAATATGGTTGCAGGATTTATCCTTCATGGTTGATATAACAAAACATTTGTATGATTTAAACTTAAAATTGCAAGGAAGAGATCAGATTATTACAAACATGTGTGACCAAGTCAAAGCATTTAAATGTAAGCTAGTTCTTTGGGAAAAGCAGTTGAAAAATGAAGATTTAACGCACTTTCCAACATGCAACATGAACAAATCAAGTTTAGGTGAAACTGCGTCGTATCAAAAATACGCAGAAAAAATTTTAAGCCTTAGAACTGAATTTGAAACAAGGTTTGCAGATTTTAAATTTTTGGAGGACAAGTTTTCTTTGTTTTCTTCGATTTTTTCAATAAATATAGACTTAGTACCTAATCAAATGCAAATGGAGGTAATTGAGATCCAGTGCAATTCAGATTTGAAGGCAAAATTCAGTGAAGTTGGCGTGCCTGAATTTTACAAATATTTACCTGCCAGGTTTGAAAATACTCGAAAATTTGCATATGAAATTATTTCCATGTTTGGAAGTACTTATCTGTGTGAGCAGTTATTTACAGTTATGAAAGGAAATAAGTCTCCTGTCAGATCCAGAATTAGTGATGTTCACCTTGGGTCAGTTTTGAAAATAATCACTGCGAACAAGATTTCCCCCGAAGTAGGAAAGATAGTAGCAGAGAAGAGATGCCAAGTGTCAGGAAGAAAACATTAATTATATCATTGCTTTTTTTTTTTTATACTATACTATTTGAAATAAATCTACATTTCTATGAAAATTGATTCTTTTGTTTTTCTTGTTTTTTGTTTTTTTTTGCAGCCCACATAAACTTAAACCTTGTTTATTTGGCCCGTGTTAGCCTTTGAATTTGACATGCTTGGTCTACATAGCATGTACTCACATATCTTGCTACCACTTCAAACTCCATGTACCTAAAACTGAACATATCATCTTTGACTTCAAAATGGGCTTCTGCTGAATGTATTGTTTCTGACAATTGTTCTGGTTCATAAGCTTGTACCATTTTTGCTCCTGCTGCTAGTGTCATCACGATTTCAGAAATGTTTTTTAGGCTAGCAAAGGCTATTTTTGCTGCCTTCTGGTTAGCAATAGATTCTAGGCTCACTGCTGTATAAAATTACAATATTTCTGGATCACTACAACTGTACTACTGGGTGGCCTAGTTGTTGCAGCAGCTCAGACCTCTGAGCTTTCTCTCCAGTCTTGCACCCAGACATGCTGCAACTATTTCCTCTCATCACAAAGTCTTTGCATTTTCCTTTCCATTGATCTAACTACCATGTCATGCACCTCTCATTAAGCAGGTTAAATAACCTCTTGGGCAGGTCTTTTGTCCCTTTGACCTTCTACTTAAAGAATTCTAAGTTTTGGAACATTCTCCATCAAAAATATAGTGTTTATTGCTTTTTCTTTTGATTTCTAACTCTATCCAGATTCTGTTCTCTGCTTATTTTTCATTTCTACCATTTGTCTTGCAAGTTAAATGCTCGCTCTTTGAAAGCAGAGCAATACTTTTATCAAATTATATTCCTGCTCTACAGCAGTCTCTGCTGGAGAATACCAGCTGCCTTACAATCAGTGCTGAATATTTGCTAAGTAACTTGACTTAGTGAAATAGATAGCACCTCTCTATTATTTCTTCAAACTGCATGAGAGCCTATGATTATCTCAAAATAAAATAATTTAAAAATTAGAAATACAGCCAGCCACAAGTTGCAAGGTCCTGACACAATAATTTCCCCTTGTCTGTTTACAAATTGCTATAAAGATTTTTTTTATTACAATAACATGGACACTCATTCAATTAGAAGAAGCTTTGTTAACTTCTTCCCAAACAGGTGGTTTACGCTCTTTAAATCCTAGAGAATTGTTGTGTTGTTTCCTTCCTCTGGGATGTTGGAGGTGGGACATGGAGGGTAGAGGATGTACCTTGAAGACAGGGTGCAGTCCTGAGAGGCACCTCATGGTGGCCACAGCAATGACCTGACCCTGCAGATGAGTGTTCAGCAAGTGATATTAGAGCTCATGAAGTTGGAAATCTGAACTTCGGACCCAGGACTTTGCCAGGAGCCAGGCAAGTGGAGGATCTGCGGGCAGGAACAGTGGTGGGGTGGGGCAGCTGGCGCTGGGAGGCTGGATCTGAAACAGGAGTTAAGCATTCACTGGCTTCATCCTGTGAGAAACTATGCTTATTATTCTGGGGGAAACACTGGTGACTAAGATTATTGTCTCCCAGGGATTATAATATAGTAGGAGGAATGAAGGCCCTTCCACTCATCCTCAAGTGCTGTGGGGAAGTGTCAGTGCCATGATGGTCAGGTTCAAAGCAGGACGAATTAGAAGTGTCTAGTATAGTGATGGTGAACCTTTTGAGCTCGGCGCATCAGCATTTTGAAAAACCCTAACTTAACTCTGGTGCTGTGTCACATATAGAAATTTTTTGATATTTGCAACCATAGTAAAACAAAGACTTATATTTTTGATATTTATTTTATATATTTAAATGCCATTTAACAAAGAAAAATCAACCAAAAAAATGAGTTCGCGTGTCACCTCTGACACGCGTGTCATAGGTTCGCCATCACTGGTCTAGTATGACAGAGAAACTTGATGAGGGTGTGAGTTAGGATGGTAGAATAGGAAGGAAAAGCTGGACATGTGAGATAAGTGACAGTTCTTACCAACTGATTGATGAGAACAGTGAGTGAAAACATTAAAACCAAGGGAGAAAATACGTCTAAGAAAAAGGAATATTCCACAGAATCATAGGTCAAAAAGAGATTAAGGAGCCTTATGGTGAGAACCAACAGAGAGCATTCTGACTCTCAAAAAGGCAGTTTCAGGTGAGTAGTGAGTAGGCTGTCAGGTAGAAAGGACATATTGGATACAAGGACAGGTGTCACTGAATGAGGCAGGGGTGGGTGACCAGAGCCTGCTGTCTGTGTCCCTTGGCAGATGTTGGGGATGAACACAGGGCAGTGTTGGGAATGGGATACCCAGGGTACCTCACCTGGATGACCATGGGTAGCAGCTTCCCACTGGGTTCCATCTTCAGCCTGACAAGGGGGCCAGCCAGGTATTACTTCTCTCCTTGGATCACATTGGCTGGAATTCCATCCAGTGGAATCAGCCTGAAAAATGGAACCTTTCTAAGAAAAGTGTAATGTATCTATGGTTAGAGTTGAAAACGTTCCTCCCCATGGCCAAGGCAAAGGGGAAGAAATGTAAAGACAGTCACTCTCCTTTCTTGCCATTATCCTATATCAGTACCTGAGTCCCAGTGGCAGAACTGAAGGAAGCACCAGAACATCAAGTTCAAGTTCTCTTATTTTACAGGGAGGACTAAGACCCCATGAAAGGAGTCTTCCCTAGAGACCTGCAGCTTGTCTGTGTCAGGAAGTTTTAGGACTAAGTATGCCAGTTGATTCTGTAGCACAGGTATGCCAGGCTCTCCCCTTGTCAGGCTGCCCAAGCTCCTTTCCCCACCATCTCCTAATGGTCAGCTTTATTGGCAGAATCCAGCTTCGATGCTTTTCCCTACATCATCACCTCTAATTTTTTCCAGCAGAGGACTCTACACCCAGGGACAGTGGATTACCACAGCCTCCCTTTCCAGACTCAACTTTGGTCCCTCCCCTTCACCACCTCTACTCCTCTCATAGACAAGGAGAAGACAGTTACGGGCTGGAGGGTATACCTGGAGTTCTCCAATTGGGCTGAAGCTCCTCCCTCCCTGAGGGCAGCACCAGCCTGGAGGGCAGAGAGGTGGAGCGTCTTAACAGCATGGGGTTGGTGCCATTGAGGAACTGGTAGCCAAAAGCTGGTCATTTTGCCAGCACTGGTGAACCTTCTCTGTGGGATTAGAGTGGAGTTTAGGAGGAGGATATTCACCACAACCTGATGTTCCTCTCCTTCAGACTCTACTACAGGGATTAAGTCACATGACTCCTCCATACCCAGCCCATATATTTTCGTTCATGAGGCCTTTGTGAGATCCCCAGTTCTTAAATTTTTTTGTTTATTATTTTATTTTTAAAATTTTTTTCTTTATTGATTAAGGTATTACAAATGTGTCCTTATCCTCGCTGTTGTTACTCCCCCCGTTGTGCCCTCACCCCCCTGGTGTCTGTGTCCATTGGTTAGGCTTATATTCATGCATACAAGTCCTTTGGTTGATCTCTCCCCCTTACCCCCGCCCTCCCCTACCTTCCCTTTGAAGTTTGATGGTCTGATTGATGCTTCTCTATCTCTGGATCTATTTTTGTTCAGCTGTTTATGATATTCATTATATTCCACAAATGAATGATATCATGTGATATTTATCTTTCTCTGAGTGGCTTATTTCACTTAGTATAATGCTCTCCAGTTCCATCATGCTGTTGCAAATGGTAAGAATTCCATCTTTTCCCCCGCAGCGTAATATTCCATTGTTTAGATATACCACAGTTTTTTAATCCACTCATTTGCTGATGGGCACTTATGTTAGCTATGGTAAATTTTGCTGCTATGAACATAGGGGTGCATATATCCTTTCTGATTGGTGTTTCTAGTTTCTTGGGATATATTCCTAGAAGTGGGATCACTGGGTCAAATGGGAGTTCCATTTTTAGTTTTTTGAGGAAACTCCATACTGTTCTCCACAGTGGCTGCACCAGTCTGCATTCCCACCGGCAGTGCACGAGGGTTCCTTTTTCTCCGCATCGTTGCTAGCACTTGTCATTTGTTGATTTATTGATGATAGCCATTCTGACAGGTGTGAGGTGGTACCTCATTGTCGTTTTGATTTGCATCTCTTGGATGATTAGTGACATTGAGCATGTTTTTATATGTCTCTTGGCCTTCCTTATGTTCTCTTTCGAAAAGTATCTATGTCCGTTGCCCATTTTTTGATTGGGTTGTTTATCTTTCTTTTGTTAAGTTGTATGAGTACTCTGTAAATGTTAGAGATTAAACCCTTATCGGTGATAATGTTGGCAAATATGTTCTCCCATGCAGTGGGTTTTCTTGTTTCTTAAATTCTTTTTTTTTTTTAATTTTTTTATTTATTTTTATTTTTATTTTTATTTATTTATTTATTTATTTATTTATTTTTAATTTGGAAATGTCGGGGAGCCAGGCGGGCAAGTCCAACTCAAGGAGAGAGACTTCCTCTGTTTCTTAAATTCTATTTTGGCAAGAAGTTTTGGAGACTATGCAGTGTGACACATACCTCATTAGAAGGGTCATCAAGGTGTTATTGGACCTGGGCAAATAACTGACCAGCCAGGGCAGCCTTTTGTCCCCAGAAGATCTGATCAAAATCTTCCAGGCGTTTCCAGGGGCTTGGGAGGGTGTAAATATATTTGAGGACCATCTCCATAAGCCTAGAGCAGATATCAAGGATGAAACCACCAATTTACCAAATCCTACCTGTTCCTGGATCCACCAGCCCCACTCCTCTCTGACCATTTCCTCACCCTGCAATCACTGTCCATCCATAGTGAAGCCTCTTCTGCTCATGGAATCTCATATTTGGAGGTAGACCATCTATACTGCCTGCATCAATTGTCTTGGGTAACCCAGGTGGCCCAGCTAGAAGATGAGGGAAAAGGTTAATGGAGGGGGTAGAAGTCATTGATGGAGAAAGTTGTCAGGGAAGGGGGTTAACTGGGAGGCTTCTAAAAGGACAGTCACCAGTAGATTTGCTGTGTTTCCTCCAGTTCCTTTTCTTGATGCTTCTGGAACACATCCAAGGTATTGTTTCTTGCCAGGCGGGCTGGGG